GAACAAAGCTACATGTATCATACTACCTGACTTCAAAATACACTCCAAAGCCACAGTGATCTATAGTTGGTTGTCTTCTGGGGGGCCTGCCACCCAGCTCCCAAATAAGTCACATGGAGACTTATTTTTAATTATAAATGTCCAGCCTTAGCTTGGCTAATTTCATGCCAGCCTTTCTTAACTTTAAATTATCCCAGCTACCTTTTGCCTCTGGAATTTTTCCTTTTCTTACTTCTATAATCTTACTTTCACTCTTACTCCGTGGCTGGCTGGCTGGCTGGGTGGCTGGGTGGCTGGGTGGCTGGGTGGCTGGCCCCTAATGGCCTCCTTCTCTGGCTACTTCTTTTATCCTCCAAGATTTCTCCTCTTTATCCTCTGCCTGCCAGCCCCACCCATCCTTTCTCCTGCCTTGCTATTGGCTGTTCAGTTCTTTATTAGACCATCAGGTATTTTAGACAGGCACAGTAACACAGCTTCACAGAGTTAAACAAATGCAACATAAACAAAAGTAACACACCTTAAAATAATATTCTACAACAGTGATCAGAACAACATGGAACTGCCATAAAAAGACACACGGGTTAGTAGAACAGAACTGAGTGCTCAGAAATAAATTTTAAAGTTTATGATCAGTATCCAAGAAAGATGCCAAGAACACAATGCTCGAGTGCATTATCCTCAGTAAATAGTGGTGGCAAAGCAGTATCTACACGTGGAAGGATGAGACTCGACCTTTAACCCAGAGCACGAACAAAAATGATGGCACAACAGAGTAAAGCCCTAAACATAGCAGGAAAAAGTGAAGCGGAAAACCTGACGGCACTGATTTGGGTAGAGGTGCTTTGAGATGACTCACACAGCACAGACATGCAGATGAGACCATGTCAGAGTCAAAAGCTGCATAGCAATAAGAATCAACATGATGAAATGACCTGTAGAATGGGAGAAAATATTCCCATCATCTAGTAAGAGATTAATGATCAAAATAATAAGAAAAAATAATTTAAAATGGGGGAAATGTGTGGAATTAAATAGCAAGAAACTGATTTTTGTTTTGTTTTGTTTTTCAATACAGGGTTTCTCTGTGTAACCCTGGCTGTCCTAGAACTCACTCTGTAGACCAGTCTGGCCTCAAACTCAGAGATCTGCCTACCTCTGTCTCCCTAGTGCTGGTATTAAAGGCATGTGTCACTACTACCTACCCAGCAAGAAACAATTCAAAACCAAGAAAAAAACCTAAATTTGATATTTCTCAAGAGAAGATGTACAAATGGCCAATGGAGCTAGGCACAGTGATGTGATCTGGTAGTCCCAGCTACTCAGAGGCGGAGGTGGTTGGGCCCAGGAATTCAAGATCAGCCTGGGCAACCTAGCATGACCCTACCTCAAAAAAATCCACAAAAACAAATGTCACAAATGGCCAAGGTAAGTGAAGAAACAGTTGCTATTACTAACCATCAGGAAAATGCAAATTAGCTCCACCGTGAGAGACTGCCTTCTACCTTTCAGATGGGCTGATGTACAAGAGCAAAAGGTAAGCGATGATCAGGATGGGGAGGAAAGGAGCCCTTCACATCACCGGAATGAAGGTACATGGGATAGCCATCATGGAAAACAATGTAGCAGTTCCTCAAAGATGAAAGTTAGGACTAGGGTGTGGTCCGGAAGTCTCCCTTTGAATATATCCTCAAAGGACATAAAATCAGGATGTTTACACTGCTATAACCATTGCAACATGATCCACAACAGTCAGAATCTGTAACCAGCCTAAGTGTCCATCAACAGATGAACAGATCAAGAAAATGTACCCAGGGCTGGCAGGACAGCCCAGGGGGTGAGGGCATCTGCTGCCAAGCCTGATGACCCAAGTTTGGTCTCCAAGACCACAGATCTGCCAGACTGTTCCCTGGTGTGTTTATGTGTACATACACACACTAATAAAAAGAGGGAAATGTGGATGGCTGTCACAAGGGAATATAATTTCTCCTTAAGAAAGACCTATCCTGGGGCCATGATGATATCCAAGCCCAAGCTGCTGATGAGGATCATGTCTGGGTCTGTGGTCCTGCCATAGCCGGGGGTCTGTGTTGATGTCCATGGCCCATGGTAACACCAAAGGCCACAAGGATGCCCAAGATCTAGGCTGCAACCTGCGGCCATGTTGGTATCTGAAGGCTGTGCCACCACAGGGGCGATGATGATCTGGGTGGCCCTGTACTGCCACCACAGGGCCATGGTGTTGTCCGGGCCTGGGCTGCTGCCTAGGGCCATAGGGCCCTATCTGGGTCCATGGCCCTACTGTAGCCAGGGTCTGAGTTGATGTCTGAGGCTCTTATTATCACCAAGGACTGTGTGGATGTCTGGGGTCTAGACAGTCACCTGAGACCATGTTGGTGTTTGAGGGTTGCCACCAAGGCCATACTCATCTGAGTGACCTGTACTGTCACCAGGGCCATGGTGACATCTTGCCCGGGCTGCTGCTAAGGGCCATGTCTGGGTCTGTGTTCCTGCTGCAGCTGGGGTCTGTGAATATGTCCGCGGCCTGTGCTGCCACAGGGGGTCATAGGAACCATGCCTGATGAAATCTGAGGGCTGTGCTGAGCCAGCCCTGCCCCTCACTGGACACTGGGCAGGAAAGCTGCCCCTCTCACCACCATTCCCCGCTTGGGAGAGATGAGCCCCGCCCCTCACCACAGGCATGGGAGAGAGGAGCCCCGCCCCTCACCACAGGCATGGGAGAGACGAGCCCCGCCCCTCACCACAGGCATGG